TTTATTACATTTATCTCTCCAGTTCTGTATTAAGCATGTTCATTGTAAGGGGGCTAATAGAATGTCTGGATGGAAATATTTGGCAGATATTTGGCAATCTAGTTCTGGACCATGAGGGAAAGTTTAGTTAGGAGAAATCATTCATCTAGAGATGAATTTACTCAATAATGTTTCAGAATGGAGCAAACTCAATAATAGAGAACATGTATAGGCCAGGCATGGTGGCTCACATCTATAATCCCAACCCTTTGGGAGCTCAAGGTGGGCCAATCTCTTGAGGTCAGGAGTTTGAGACTAGCCTGGCTAACATGGTGAAACCCTATCTCTACTGAAAATACAAAAATTAGCTGGATGTAGTGGCTCATGTCTGTAATCACAGCAACTAGGGAGGCTGAGGCAGGAAAATCGCTTGAGCCCGGGAGGTGGAGGTTGCAGTGAGCCAAGATTGTACCACTGCACTCCAGCCTGGGCAACAGAGCAAGACTCCATCTCAAAAAAAAAAAAAAAAAAGGAGAGAGAGAGAGAATATGTATAAAGGAATAAAAAAATAAAAGTTGAAGACAGAATCCTGGTGAGTCATCACATTTTTGGAATAGTAGGATAGAAAAAGTAAATCACAGAGGATGAGTTGTTAGAGAAAGTTGTAACACTACAACAGTGCTATTGACATGGAGAAAAAAACTTTATATCAGAGAAATATGAGGAATTTAATATCAGAGACAATAGGAACTAAGTAGGAGTTTCAAGGTTGAGAAAAGGCCATTGAATTTGATGATTTTTAAGGGAGTAGCTTCACATGAATTATGGCAGTAGAATTTGTATGGTAGTTATTGATTAAATATTAAAAGACCTATGGAGGCAGGTATTTTTGTCTTTCATCCACTTCTGTATCTCTACCACCTTGAATATTACCTGGTATATAATAGGCATTTAGTAGACATTTGTTGAATAACTGAATGAATGAGTGATTTGTGGGAAAATAGAATCATTGTAAGTAGACTCAGGAGTAATTTTGGGGGAGGTTTAGTGGTTAAAAAAAGAAAGCAAGATAAAATAGTATATTGGAAGATTTTTGTTTGTTTTAACTTTAGGGAAAGGAAAACCTAAACCAGATTGCAGGTTGAACAGTAGAACCTAATAGACAAGGAATGATGAGAAAAATTGGAGAAGAGACAATATAAGGAGCAAACTCTGAAGCGGAGAAGGTGGGAGGCCAAGACAGGCAGATTATTTGAGGTCAGGAGTTCGAGACCAGCCTGGCCAAAATGGTGAAACCCTATCTCTACTAAAAATACAAAAATTACCCAGGCATGGTGGTACATGCCTGTAGTCCCAGCTACTTGAGAGGCTGAGGCAGAATTGCTTGAATGCGGGAGACACAGGTTGCTATGAGCCGAAATAGCGCCATTGCACTCTAACTTTGGCGTCAGAGTGAGAGTCCACCTAAAAAAAAAAAAAAAGAAGTGGAGAAGGTATGAATTGAGTGGTAGGACACAGATGAAACTCTAAAAAGGAGGAAGCCTGCTTCTTCTCATGAGATATGGAAAAAAGAAAAAGTAAATCGTTTCTACACAGAATATAATGTAAAATATTGTGTAGTTCATGCCTGTTAGTATCATTGATTCAATTGGGTAGGGTTAATTTGCTGTTGCTGACATGTTTATTATTTCTCTTTACATCTAGGTAGCTCTCAAGACAGAAGTACTCTTTTAATACTTTGTTATCCTTCTCTATCCTTCCCCTTTCATCTGTATTCTTACTATCCCCATGGAATTCACAAAGTACTCAATGTTTATAGATACTTGTGTTGTTGCCTTTGTTTTTGGAAAAGATTGCGAAGTCTATTTTAGGTGCTAGGTAGTTTCTAAACATGCTCTTATACTTGGTTTTCTCAGTAGGCTTGAGAAAGTATGCCTGTATAAAGTAATGACCACCTTTTTGGAAGCAAATCATTCAGTACAGTTATAGGTCTCCTCCCCAGCCTGTCCAACTTGATAATTCCAATTTAATTATCAAAATTAAATATACTTTTCTAAACCAAAATTTCTCAGTTGATAACTATTTAATTTGTTTTATTTTGAAATAATTAACAAGGGCTGTGAAAATAATATTTCTCTGCTCATGTGTAGGCTTTACTATTGTCATTGGGAAATGTTTTTAATAGAGTTGCAGAAATCAGATTTCTGACTATTTATGATATTAAAATGAAAACATACTATTGCATCATGAGGTAAAAAAATGAAAATAATTTTTCTGTCGTCTATGTCGTATTTGATAATCAAAACAGTTTTTTTTTTTTTTACTTTTTTTTTTTGAGATGGAGTTTCGCTCTTGTTACCCAGGCTGGAGGGCAATGGTGTGATCTCAGCTCACTGCAACCTCCGCCTCCCAGGTTCAGGCAATTCTCCTGCCTCAGCCTCCCAAGTAGCTGGGATTACAGGCACGCACCACCGTGCCCAGCTAATTTTTGTATTTTTAGTAGAGACAGGGTTTCACCACGTTGACCAGGATGGTCTCAATCTCTTGACCTCGTGATCCACCCGCCTCGGCCTCCCACAGTGCTGGGATTACAGGCTTGAGCCACCGCGCCCGTCCTTGACTTTCATTTTTATAAGGTCAGCCTAACTTGTGGAAGACAAACTTACCTTCACTCTCCTTGTTATATCACTGCTGACAACCTGATAATCTTCAAGTCAGAGTCTGGCAATAGATGATTTTTGTTAACAATCACTGATAATGATGTATGAATTGGATATGAAACAGATTTTCTTCCTTTTCTACGATGACCTCCGCTCAAAATTATTAGTTATTTTCAGACTTTATTTATTGTTTTATGTGGTAATTTCATTTGTAATTTTTTTCTTTTTTTTTATACTTAAAAAAATTTTTTTGAAACTGTTATGGGGCCAGGTGTGGTGGCTCACACCTAAAATCCCAGCACTTTGGGAGGCTGAGGCAGGCAGATCACCTGAGGTCAGGAGTTAAAGATCAGCCTGGCCAACATGGTAAAACATTGTCTCTACAAAAATACAAAAATTAGCCAGGCATGATGGGTGCCTGTAATCCCAGCTACTTGGGAGACTGAGGTGGGAGAATCGCTTGAACCCAGGAAGTGAAGGTTGCGGTGAACTGAGATTGTGGTACTGAACTCCAGCCTGGGTGACAGAGCTAGACTCTGTCTCAAAAAATGAAAAAAAAAAAAAAAAACTATTGTGAGTACAGTACGGTGAGTGTATATATTTATGGGGTATATGAGAGCCACCCAAAATTAGATTGACTTTATATCAATTATACAAAAATAACTTAGCTTGAAAAACTGTTCTTTCCATGGTAAATGCTTTTGAATATTAACTTAATTATGTTATATTCCTACCTCAGTGGTACTGTCACAGCCATTGGTTACATTTCTGAAACCCTTTAGAGTAAGATAATTTTTTATTAAAGAACTTCTCAGAGTCTTACAGGGGAAATAAGCTTTGGTATAAATTCGATATATAAAACTAGTAGAAAATCAATGGCATGTTACTCATCTTCAGTAATAATGAGCACACTTACCATTTCTTGTTTTATACTTTTAAGGATTTTTATATTCCCATTGTTTCATCTATATTAGCATTTTCTAATGTGATTTGTTATCCAAAGGTGCCTTTCTAATTTTGTGACTGAGAATTGTTGATTCCCAGTTCCTGTCTCCTACTATAGTGGAGATACAGAATAACTATATGATTGAAATGAAAAAAAAAAAAAAAATCTTGTTTTTCAAATCTTTTTTTCCTGTGAATCAAAACCACAATGAGATGTCACCTCACAGCAGTCAGAACGGCTAATATTAAAAAGTAAAAAAATAAGAGGTGCTGGCGAGGTTGAGAAGGAAAAGGAACATGTATACACCGTTGGTGGGAGTGTACATTAATCCAGCCATTGTGGAAAGCAGTATGGCGATTCCTCAGAGAACTAAAAACAACTGCCATTTGACCCAGCAATCCCGTTACTGGGTATATACCCAAAGGAATAGAATCGTTCTACCATAAAGATACACACACACATATGTTTATTGCAGCAGCGTTCACAAGTAGCCAAGACATGAAATCAAACAAAATCTTCTTTCTCATATCCAAGCATGTTAAGCCAGACCTTCTTATACATATCTTACCTTCAATTTTTATGAAGACTATTTCTCAATTTTAAGTTTCTAAACTTAAAATTTAAAGAAGTCACTCAGCCTCACTCCTACAACATTCACAGTATACCTAATTTGCTAATAGGTGTGTGTGTGTGTGTGTGTGTGTGTGTGTGTTTGTGTACTTACTTTATATAGCACTTTATAATTCTGTTCTGGCAATTCTGTTTTTCATTAACTCTGCTTAAATTCCTCCAGAATTAGTGCCACCTTCATAACAAAGGTTTATGCAAATAATCTGCATTTCTTTAACAACAATTTTTGGTTTTCTGGAATTCCCTTTTAGGTCACATAAGCAGGTAGGTTTACTGTATTTTCATCGGTGGATATAAGAACATTTTGACAACAGTTATGGTTTATAATGCTAAAAAAAAATCTAAGATGCAGAACTTGCTTTTTTATTTTGTCTGACTCTTTTTATTTTGTGATCAAATGTAATAAGAACAAACCTTTCAATCCTTTCGAGATTGCTTTTCCAGACTGGTACTGTTGATTCTGAATTGTTTACCTTATATCCTCCCAATTTCATTTTAACAAACTAGAGCTTGGCTGTTTCCATTATCAGAGAGAATAAACGTTTGCTTCTTGCTTCCAGTTCCTTTGTGTCTTTTAACATGCTGTTGAAAATAATTTTGTATGTGTTCAGAAAGAATTAGATATATGTTAATGGATTTGGGCTAAGACAATTGCGATAAATGTTTAGGAATAATCACGGCATTGTGGTTATGAGGTGAATAAGTGATGAGAACATCACCAAAGTGTCCAGTCCTACAAACATGTCTTTTTGCTGACATTAATTTTTCTGACTGCTGTATTGCAGCTGTTGAAAATGGACAGATAGATGTGTTAAGGCTGTTGCTTCGACATGGAGCAAATGTTAATGGATCCCATTCTATGTGTGGATGGAACTCCTTGCACCAGGCTTCTTTTCAGGTAACCTCTGAATTTATTATTTCATTTCCATGTAAATTGTGTGTTTTACCCTCTTAAAATGACAGTCCTATACAGTTTTTGCTTTCTGCTTGCCTGTGATTTATGATGGTTAGTGCAGTACAGAAAAGGCAGTCTAAATGCTAATGATGATTCTGAATAAGCCAACTTCTGTAGTAGCTGTAGCAGCTTTGGGCTCTTGGAATTATCTACATTTAAAAAATGTTGATGGCATATTTAAGAAACCATCAGAATATTTGAGATATAAATTGATAAAGAACAATGGCTTATTTTATTTATAATAGTGTGTTTAGAAATCCTGATGGCTCCTTAGTGCTTTGGTTGGCAAACTAATTTTGCAGGATTCTATAAGGATTATAATTTCTAGAGATCAGTATTTCATGTTTATGTTTATTGGGTTAACTAGAAATATAGGATAATCTGATTATTTGACCACTTTCTTTCCAACTAATACAGCAGTACACAGTTTTGTTTTTTTTCTTCAAGTTATCGTTTAGTGAGAGGATAAAAAAGAAAAACAGAAAACACAGTTAAGAAAAAAGATACCTTCTGTTTTCTTTGTTTTTTCTTATTTAAAATGTGAATCTGTGCTTTAGGAAAATACTGAGATCATAAAATTGCTTCTTAAAAAAGGAGCAAACAAGGAATGCCAGGATGACTTTGGCATCACACCTTTGTTTGTGGCTGCTCAGTATGGCAAGATAGAAAGCTTGAGCATACTTATTTCATCAGGTAAGATTATCCATTAGCCTTTGCACTAAGATCACAAGTTTAAACTTTATATTTCCTAGGAGGCGTAATTCTTAATGTAAATCAGGTTGTGAAATTTATGGTTTTTTTAAGTGGTAAATAAGACTAAATATAAGTTGATTTATAAACCTGGTTATTAAGTATCTATTACTAACAATGCAATGCCCAGCTACTAATTTATCTGAGCAGGAACATAATGATCTATCACTAATGCAGGTTTATTGGCAAGTTGAATGATAGGGCTGTCCTTTCCTATAGGGACTTGAGCAGTTTCACCTTTCTAGGGTGTAAGATTTGTTTAGACTTAATCACCTTATTAAGATGGTTATTTTGTGTAGTAAGTCTTTGAAGTGAATATTTTGTTAATTATGTGATTATTTAAATAGGTTTATTTCAAAACAGGTTTACACTTTATTATGTTAATAGCAACATAACCTGCTAAAGGTTTCTCTGTGACAACCCTTCCACATTCAGCATTGCCAGAGAAGTTGGGGTTCAAGTGGCATTCTTACTCTTTTGTGATGATTTTGTACCAGAAATGTTTATTATTTAGGGACTTAAAATTTCTCCACCAAACACCAGATACACTCTTCATGGTGCTACCTTGATGAAACACAAATCACGGTAGGCTAGGCAATTAAAAAAAAAATACCTAGGCTTTTTTGGTCAGGTTAAGTGGCTCATGTCTGTTATCCCAGCACTTTGAGTCCAAGGTGGGCGGATCAGTTGAGGTCAGGAGTTTGAGAACAGCCCGGCTAATATGGCAAAACCCCATCTCTACTGAAAATACCAAAATCATCTGGGCATGGTGGCATGCACCTGTAATCCCAACTACTAGGAGACGCGAGAATTGCTTGAACCCAGGAGGGTAGGGGTTGCCGTGAGCCGAGATTGCACCACTGTACTCGGGCTTGGGCAATAGACAGAGACTCTGTCTCCAAAAAAAAAAAAGAGAGAGAAAAATCTAGGCTTTTTATAAGCTTCCTTTAGATCATACAAAGTTTGTTTGCTTGCTTGTTTATTGATTGATTGAGGCCAGGCCTTGCTCCATCACCCAAGCTGGAGTATAGCAGTATGATCACAGCTCACTGTGACCTTACATTTCCGGCCTTCAGTGATTTTCCCGCTTTAACCTAACAGATAGCTGTGACTGCAGGTGAACTTCACCATGCTCAGCTAATTCAAAAGAAAAATTGTTTTAAGACAAGGGGTCTTGCTATGTTGCCCAAATGGGTCTCAAACTCCCAACCTTAAGTGATCATCCTGCCTTAGCATCCCAAAGTGCTGGATTACACTGTGAGCCACTGTGCCTGCCTGGCAATCCACAGTTTATTTAAACAGCATGGCACATATTTTTTATTTTTGCTTTCTTGTTACAAACCTTCAAACATTTAAGTCAGAGTAGGAAGTAAAAGAAACAAACATTCATTAAGTGCCAATTTAAGGCATCTGTTATAAATAATGAGTCTATAAGTCTTACAGTTAAGAGGAATCCCCCAAATCATCTGTTCAAACATACATTTTTTAGATTAAGAGTCCAGACCCTGAATGTTTAAGTGCCTTGTTAAAGATTTAGAGTCTGTTACCTGGCAGAATCAGGGCTTGGACCACCCAGACCTTCTAACTTCTGATCTTCCATCTACTACATCATACCTTCCCAAGGACTATCCTAATTCGGTTTATGACTTGTAGTTCCATAAGTTTCAATTATTAGTGTTTAGGCCATCGCAGTGGCTCACACCTGTAATCCCAGAATTTTGGGAGGCCAAGGCAGGAAGATTGCCTGAGGTCAGGAGTTTGAGACCAGCCTGGCCAACATGGTGAAACCCTGTCTCTACTGAAAATACAAAAATTAGCCAGGCATGGTGGCAGGCGCCTGTAGTCCCAGCTACTCAGGAGGCTGAGGCAGGAGAATCCCTTGAATCCAGGAGGTGGATGTTGTAGTGAGCCGAGATTACACCACTGCGCTCCAGTCTGGGAGAGAGAGAGAGTCTGTCTGGAAAAAAAATTAGTGTTTAATTAATATTTAGATTAAATAGATTAAACTGCACCTTAATGTCTATATCCTATCAGGTCTGTTTTCTTATTGCCTGGAACTCTGAATTCTTGTTTTGTTTTTGCTTTGTTCTTTTTATTTCTTCTCTTTTCTCTGAATTGTTCTGAAAAATCAGCTGAAAAGGTATATAGGTATGTTTATCATGTAACTATACATGTTTCCAACCCCATAAATTACTTTCCTTTCAGTGAATTGTCTGTCATTTTTTCACCAGTAATCTTTAAAGGAATTGATTCCTTATTCTTTCTGATACTTTGATATTGTCATTCAGAGTAACGCATTGATTAAAAAAAAAGTTAAGAAGATTTCTTTCTTGACTTAGTCTCTTTTCAGTTATGGTGTTTACTACTTTCTGAAATTGACAGTAGGTGAAACATTTACCTCATATAAATCAGGAAGGTTTTAGTTGTCTAGCATTTGGAATTTCTGAAGGATCTATAGACTCTTTAATTTACCATTTGTGTTATATATAGTTTTTGCCTATAGTCTTTTCCCTCTTGATGATGATCTTTCCACCAAGATATATTCCAGAAATTTAAAATTTTAAAAAATTTTCTGGAATATGAGAATTAAAAAAAATTCTTATGGTCGTATAACAACATCATGCTTAGCATATTTATTATGCTAAGTATTAAATTTTCTTTGCTGACAAGAAAAGTTTGGGACTGTCTGCTGTTTTCAAAATCTTCATAAAAACTGAGGTCAGGTTTTTAAAATCTTTATACAATGGCATATATATAATTTAATTAGATTTATGATTTTATTTGATTTTTTATAATTTCAACTTTTATTTCAGATTCAGAGGGTACACAGGCAGGTTTGTTACATAGGTGTATTGTGTGATGCTGAGGTTTGGGATACGAATGATCTCATCACCTAGATAGCGGTCATAGTACCCAGCAGTTAGCTTTTTAGCCCTTGCCCTGTTCCCTCCCTCCCCTCTCTATTAGTCCCCAGTGTTTGTAGTTGCTGTCTTTATGCCTGTGATTACCTAGTGTTTAGCCTCCACCTATAAGTGAGAACATGCAGTATTTGATTTTCTGCTAATTTGTTAATTCACTTAGAATAATGGCCTTCAGTTGCATCTATGTTGCTTCAGGGACATGATTATTCTTTTCTGTGGCTGCATAGTATTCCATGGTATGTATGTGCTATGTTTTCTTTATCCATTTCACCAGGTATACATTGATGGGCACCTCGGTTGATTCCATGTCTTTACTATTGTGAATAGTGCTGTGATGAACATGCAAATGCATGTGTATTTTTGGTAGAACGATTTATTTTCTTTTGGCTATATACCCAGTAATGGGATTGCTGGGTTGAATGGTAGTTTTGTTTTAAGTTCTTTGAGAAGTCTCCAAACTGCTTTCCACTGTGTCTGAACTAATTTACATCCCCACCAACAATGTATAAACATTCCCCTTTGTCTACAACCTTTCTAGCATCTGTTGTTTTTTGACTTTTTAGTAATAACTGTTCTGACTGGTATGAGATTGTATGTAATTGTGTTTTTGATTTGCATTTCTCTGATGATTAGTGATGTTGAGCAATTTTTCATATGTTTGTTGGCTACTTACATGTCTTCTTTTGAGAAATATCTTTTCATGTCTTTTGCCCAATTTTTAATAGGGTTATTTGTTTTTTGCTTGTTGAGTTGTTTAAGTTTCTTATAGATTCCAGATATTAGAGAAAGTTAGGATAAACTCTGTCTAGAATCTATAAGAATATCTAGAATCTATAAGAATGCATAGTTTGCAAATATTTTCTATTCTGTGAGTTGCCTGTGGAGTCTTTTGTTTTACAGAAGCTCTTTAGATTAATTATCAATTATCTCACTTATCAATTTTTTTTGTTGCAATTGCTTTTGATAACTTAGTTATAAGTTCTTTTTCTAAGCGGATGTCCAGAATGGTATTTCCTCATTTTTTTTTTCTAGCTAGGATTCTTATAGTTTGAAGTCTTAAATTTAAATCTTTAATCCATCTTGAGTTGATTTTTGTATGTGGTGAAAAGTAGGGGTCCAGTTTCATTCTTCTACATATAGCTAGCTAGCTATCCTAGCACCATTTATTGAAGGAGTCTCTTCCTCATTGATTATTTTTTGTCAACTTTGTCAAAGATCATCAGATGGCTGTAGATGTGTGGCTTTATTTCTGGATTCTCTATTCTATTCCATTGGGCTTTGTATCTGTTTTTATACCAGGACCATACTGTTTTGGTTACTGTAGCCTTAAAGTATAGTTGGGTATTGTGATGTAAAGTATAGTTGGGAAATGTGATGCCTCTAGCTTTATTCTTTTTGCTTAGGATTGCTTTGGCTATTTGTGCCATTTTCTTGTTCCATATAATTTAAGAACAGTTTTTTTCTAATTCTGTGAAAAATGATGTTGGTAGTTTGATAGGAATAGTGTTGAAGTGTAAGAATGACACAGTGGACTTTGGGGACTTGGGGAAAGGATGGGAAGGGGGTGAGGGATAAAAGACCACAAATCGAGTGCAGTATAATACTGCTTGGGTGATGGGTACACCAAAATCTCACAAATCATCACTAAAGAACTTTCTCATGTAACCAAACACCACCTGTTCCCCAATAACCTATGGAAATAAAAAAACAAAAACAAAAACTCTGGCTTTTAACAGGGGAAAAAATAAAAAAAGGATAGTGTTGAATCTGTAGATTGCTTTGAGTAGTATGGCCATTTTAATGATACTGATTTTTACAATCCATGAGCATGGTTTTCCATTTGTGTCATCTGTGATTTCTTGCAGTAGTGTTTTATAGTTCTCCTTGTAGAGATCTTTCACCTCTTTGGTAAGATGTATTCCTAGGTTTTTTTTTTTTTTTTTTTTTTGGTGGCTATTGTAAATGGAGTTGCATTCTTGATTTTGCTGTCAGCTTGAACATTATTGATGTATAGAAATGCTG